GGTCAGTTTGGGCTTTTTTTCTTTTTTCCTTTTTTATTTTTTTTTAGAGCACATATTTTCTCACATTTATTTGTTTTCTGAATATAAATCTAAGCTTGATTGTGTTCCAGCTGCCTGCCAGGATACATCTGTGTAAATTTAATGTCTTTCCTTATAAATCAAACTCACGCTTGAAAATGTGAAGATAAAATATAGTATAAATATGTTGGTTAATTTAAATAATTTTCATAATATATACTTGTGTCATTATTGTGTCACATAATATGGTCTTGTGCTCTTGGGAAGAGCATGGGCAAAGGAAGATTAACTTGGGAACTTTAGTTAAGCAATTTTTTTATTTTCCTTGTAGTACAGTTAACAGGGTCAAATGAGACTTCTGTCAGCACATGAATGGGGCTATATATATGCATATATAAAAAACAGAAATCATTTCAAATGGTTTTAAGTACAGAAGTATCCTCAAAGAAAAATCTGGAAGACATCATTATCCAGTTACGTAGCTACTCACAAACTGTCAGTGCTTGTTCTTTCTCTATTTTGACCACACTTCTTTTCTCTATCCTATACTAAGGGTACCATAGGTATCACCCAAATGAGGACAGTTACAGACTGCTTTAAAGATTGGAGTACAGCTACTTCCTATACACTGTAGCACTATGTGGAAGTGACAGGTCAGGACGTTGCACTAAAATATCTGTAGCACTTTGTACAATGGAACAAAAGACAAAAGCCAATCATACAATAATATTATCGTTGAGCTTATATTTGCCTATCCAGTTACTTAAAGATCAAAATATGCTGTCTTCACTTGGAAAAATAAATTGCATATTGGCATACCTTTGAACTTCTGATAGCAGAGAACTAAAATTTACTTCGTAATGTATTATTAGTGTTAATTGCAGAACAGCTGTAAAAAAACCCCACATTTATTTATTGCAGCTTATTTTTTATTTTTCATTCTATGCACAAGTGTATGATTTTTGCAGTCCTTCAGCATGTACTCAGACTACCAGAAGTTTATGTAATTTAAACCAAGGTTCAGGTAAAGAGGATGCGATTACTATATTAGCTAAAAATGATCCTCATCTTTTCTCCTTTTTTATTATTCTGGTAGTTACTTATAGTACTAGTTTACTGTAAGATTTTTTTAACACTTTAGCTTAACGACTGTTAATTTTGGTATCAGATTTCCTAAGAATGCTTTTCCCTTGTTCCTTTCTACATCAGAAACTTGAAAGAGAGCAAAACACATTGCAGGTTTATTAAAGTTGAAAATACGGTGTGTTTGGGTTCACTGTACCAATATAAAGAAAAGGAACATACAGGCAGTCAGCCAGTCCTAAGGTAGTTTCAATAACAGCATCGCTAAAGAAAAGACTACTGGTTCAACTCTGGAATGTGAGAAACTATTTTTGGTTTGTTTTAGACCCTCATTGTTACAAATTAATCAACTGCTCTTTAAAGTCTAGAACTCATTAACTTTATAAGTTTTACTGTTCCCATGACTGAACTTAACTTAAAATATTCAAGTTTACTTTAGCTGCTCACCTTGATCCCATTTCTGTCTATGCTCCACAAGTATCCTCTTCTCTCTTGTAGGCAGACGGCAAGATGTAGCTGCTTGAGATTTTAAATATTTCAGAAGGTTTACATGTGGTATAAGTTTATAGTTCAGCTCTCACTATAAATCAGTAATTTCAGCCAAACCTACACATTTTGAGGGTAGAAAGAAAATCTGATTTTTTTTTTTTTTAACCCTGTGGACACTGCGGAGCATAGTACTCGCCACGTTGGATGCCTTATTTAAATTTTAGTTCAGTCTGACTCCTCAAATGCCTCCTAGTACCAGAAAACTGCAAAAGATATATTTTAAAAAGGGATCAGTTGTTTACTTTTAGAACAATTCTAACAATTCAAATAAAGGGTGATGATAAGCTGCATATCTGGAACACGATGTTGCAGACAGGACTCTAAGATGATTCTGTGGCCGGTGTTATGCAGGAAACAGAATTCAATTATCAGAATAACCCTTTGGCCTTGTAAAATGTAACTATCGAGTTTATGCAGGTCTACGTGTGACATTTCTCACTGGCAAAGGAAGTTACTGTCTCCTATATGACCCTGCATCGCGTACAGGTTGAAATGTAGGTTTGAGAGGACTCTTACACCCTTGAAATGATGCAGCTGTCTCTAATGCCCAAAAGAAGACATTATCGGGAAAGTCCATCACAGACCTATAGAAAAGAGAGATGTGACGTGACTACCAAACGCATGATTGCAGAACCCATAGCTAAAATTCCTAGTTATCTCCTGGTATACTCCAACTTACGCTTAACTGTGTAGGTGCTTGTAAACATATTATTCGCACATGGGCTGCAATAGTCCTGATTTAACAGAAGAAAAAAGGGAAAGTGAAAAATGCACAGCAATGCTTTGTAGTTTAACTATAAAGTTTGTATTAAGTTTCTTGACTGTAGAACGAAGATTAATGATTGATACGTAATTTGATCTGTTTCTTCACCCATGGAAGTAAGCACGGTATTCAGAGACAATGTTCTAAAATAATATATATTATACATTGTGTGGAATAGTTGAAGCTATAGCCTTTGCAGAACAGATTGAGATTCCCGATGAAAAGGAAAACTAAAATGAAAAAATATTGAGTGAACAGCAGGGCCCATTTGAGGTGATTACAAAGGATGTTTCTTTATTCTGTCTTTTCTTGTGCAACCTGAAAACAGTAGCAGGGGGTTACAAGCAGAGTTCATCACAGAGTTGTCAATCACTGTCATTTAACATTTTGCAATGGAAGATGTCTTTATTCAAGGACAGCTGGGCAAATCAGAGAAACAGATTTGCAGTTAGTAGTCTGTCCAGCCTACACTAAGCAAACAAGGACAGGGCAGACATACTGGCCTCTCACATAAAAATATAATGGACTCTGCTGACCTCGGTGCCCTCCATTCAGCTTCATTCTCAGTTGTATAAAAGCTTCACTACCCATTCTCAATTTCCTTTAATTACCTACATGATGCAGATAAGAAAATGAACCTCACTTACTTACAGTCAATGATCACAAACAGGAAATTAAGTAGGCAAGTTGTTTAAAATAAGAGGAGTGTTTTGGAGGTAAATAAAACATGTGCTGGGGAAGAATTAGGGAAAACGCATTTTCAGCAGTACCAATTGGTCTGGAGCAACTTGGCTGATCCTTCTTCTTTCTGCTACTTTAAACTGGAAAGCAAAACTAAGTAAAAAATCTCCTTGGTAAATATTCTTTAAAACATCTTTGAAGAAGCAGCCAGTTAAATAAAAAGAGTGAAGCAAACATGCAGCCTTCTATAGGGCTTAAAAAGATTGTGACCTTAGGTTCAGAGAATAAATGACCACAGTTTTCACAAGAGATCTAGCAGAGGCATCCAGGATTAAGCAGCAGTTGTCTTTAGTCAGTCTTCACTTCTAATCTGCAGTCGAGATATGAAATAAAGTAATGACATTCTGATTTTCTTTCCAAATCCTAACTTGTCTAACACCTATCTTTCCTTTTACATTTATATCACAGTTTAGGTGTAGTTTCATTGTGCCATTAAAGAAAACAGAAAATTTTGTGCTGTCTGTTTCCAAGGGGGTGAAAAACAGCTATATAACTGTTTTTAGGAATTGTCAAAAAAGGTTCTATGTGTTAGGATATTAATGAGTGGATACGGTACTTTGCAAGTCAATTAGGTAGTTCTAGTAGTGTTCTAAAATTGCCGTTTTTCTTTACTCACTCTGCATTGGTTACCGTTGTGAATATTTCATTAATATGGATTTGCAGGAAGTCTGACTGGAGATTGAAGACTAAAATGCATAATATCGAATCGATAGTTTAAGAGGAATATAAAACCCTGAACACTTTAATTTAATGGTCTCTGCTAAGCCCATAGTTGAGAAGACATTGCCCTTCGGGCTACCCAAATGACTTTTTATTTTATGACAAAAGAAGTACGCTCTCTTAAATTACAGATGGAAAAAATATAACATATTATAAAACTCTTACTTTACTTGCAAGTTTTATACTTCAAAAAGATCGTTCTCATTCCAAACAAGAATATGTATGCATACATGCACAAGAGGATTTTGTGGAGAAAATAAATTACCAGTTAAGTCACAGAACTGACTCTTCAGCCTAAATTATAGTTCTTAGGATGCTTCTGTTGGATTTTCTTTCTTTCAGAGACAGTGGATTTCTCTACCAGGAGAATGAACATCTCTGCTCTGGCTACTAGAACAGGCATACTTGTTCCTCTCAGCCCCAAGGATGTTGCTACTCATAACTACACTTAGATTACCTGTTGGTGTGCAGCTTCTTTTTCCAACAGTGAGAAAGTTCTTAGACAGCTTTCATTTTGGCATGAATGGTATTAGTCCTGCTCTGGAGCAGAGAGGATAGTTTTCAGCGCCTACTTACAATTTTGCTCTTTGCTTTGATCACTGATCATCTGTTGCTTAGGCACTGACTGCTGAAAATATTGAAAATATATTTTAAAAGAACCTTAGCAGAGCTATTTCAAACCCACGGTGTTTTGAATACAAAGAGAAAAGTGGAAACCCTGAAAATTGAAAAAGCGAATTATTGACTTCTTTATAGCTAACCTTACGATGTTTTTGTCAGCCAACCAGGGTAGGTTATCTGTAGAAGGTCATCTCAAATACTGAGTCTATCCAATTAATGTATTTATTTCACTGCTTTTATTTTCTTCTTCTCTAATGTTAAAATCAGCTATGTGAAAAAAAAATTAAAACCTATAATTGTGTCAATATTTGTGAATATTTTACTAGCTATTGTTTTCCCACACACATGATTTTGATAAATAAGTACATTTTCTAAACATTAAAATGCTGCTATTTTAACAGCGAAATCTAACTGTAATAAATTAAATGTATATATTTTAATGTCTCAGTAAGGAATAATTATTGTGAAGTTAATTACAATGGTTAATTTTTTTTTTTTTTTAAAGAATGCTGAGGAGTACACAGATCTGCCTGTGAGACACAATGAAGACCAGATGAACAGTGAACTGGCAAAACACCTTCCAATTGAAGTCAATCCCCATTCATTTGACAGTTCACACACAAAAACACACCTCCTGCTGCAAGCCCACTTCAGTCATGCCATGCTGCCTTGTCCAGATTATGCAACTGACACAAAGACAGTGCTGGACCAAGCAATTAGAATATGTCAGGTATAGTAAGGCATTTCAGTATTTAACTCTTGTTGGTTTACTATTTATTGTTAGCGTGTTGTAACATTTTGAATGTAGAAAGATCTGAAGATTGCTTGCAGTCTTGTGGAGAACTGGTACCACACGGTATGATACCACTTTGTTTAGGAAGGAACTAGATGCTCATAAAGATACCCACTTTACAGAACTGGAGGTAAACAAACTTACGGTAAAAGACTGTGGTACCCTGGTGGGAGGCATCTGTTGCCATAGGGCTCACCTCTTCTTTCATATGCAACAGCTTTCTATCTCTGTATCGTGGAATGTTGTACGTAAGTCATTCCTGCATGGGTGTGCTCCCTGCAGATTGCTATGCTGACCCCCAAGAACCTGTCTCCCATGGGTACTTTTATTTTTATAGCGCCCAAAAGTGCTGTAGGCACTGCCGAGCATAAATAAAACATGTTTTGAAATGTGATTTGGGACAACATACAGGGTTTTTCTCTAGCTTGTGAAAAGATACGTCTTCTATTTCCCAATTATCATAGAGTCAAAGAGCATGCTTTTAAACACAGATTTTAAACTCAGTCTGGAGGCTTGTGACTTTTACAGTTGTACTGCAGTTGCAACCCACAGAAACTAAACTGACCATGGAGAGTACTGGCAACAAGCGATCACATGCACAGCTGCATGCCTCAAAAGAATTTTAAAGTGGCAATTTGAGTTTGGAATAGAGTGCTGCCATATCCGAAAAGCACAATTACAGTTAACAGCAGGAAGGTTGAGCTCTAGTTGACGCAGACAACAGCCACCCCTCTGATTCTGCTGGAAAGGAATAATATTCTCTTAAGCAGAACTGGACAAGGACTCGTTCATAGGTTCTTGAAGATCAGGTAGCCTTCAACAAACTATTTTTTTTATCTTCCTCGGTTCCATATCTGTAAAATAGGGACAGTAAGTTTTTCTTCCTACAGTTTTTGTTTGCTCAAATTTTAATATCCTCAGTGATCTACATGTCAACTATCAGAATGAGGCTTTGATCTTGTTTGAAGCCTGCTGGCAATATGGTAGCTGCAAACATCATTGTGTCAAGCCTGCCGGTTTGTAAAATCACTCTATAAGAAATTATTAATCAGTGCTCTAGACAGACAAAATACCATGGGCAATTCAGCGTCCAGTGATTTGGGTGGGTCTCAACCTTACACTAACAAAACCTGCAAGCTTGTAATACTAAAATCAAATAAAATAATACTAAAACAAAGCAAAACTAAAATTAAGAAAAGGAATGTAAGAAGCAAATGTTATTGCTTCACAGTCTTAAACTTGGCAACCAGCAGTGCTTGAATGCAAGTCCACTCCAAATATTTCAAATAAGTAAAATCATGTTGCTGAAAGCTTCAATATTTGAACAGTTATTATTCATAATACTCAGTTATTAACAGAGAACAACGTCGCTCAGTCAGGTGAGAAAATTCACCTTTGTTTCAAAGAAATCACATACTTAAAGTTCATTTAGACATTCATGGAATTAGCATTTGGGGGTAATAACATATTTGGAAAAAAATGTAAATTAAAGATTCTTTTCAATAATTATTTTGCTCAATATTTATCCTGCTATGCTAAGAAATGTATTTTTTAATCCTGTTACTGCATAATAGGTGTTTCAGATGCAATAATCACTGAGAAGAAAAAACCCTAAAATATTCAAGAGTTCCTTTAAACTGAAGTAGAGTTCAGAAGAATACCATTCCATAGTGTGCCTTGGCACTCTGGCCTTCCGTTAACTGCTACATAATGTTACATCTATAGTCGTCTTTTTAAAAAAAAAAAAGTTCCACTTTTAAAAAAAAAAAAGTTCCTCTTCTAAAAAAAAAAAAAAACATGCAAGCATTTTTGTATTTTGAAGTTGGCGCATGGTTTACATCTCTTGGGAGAATATTTGTTCCATCTTATTAGTCACGCTTTCCAAACGGAGGTTAAAGTTCCCAGAATCTAAGCAATAGACAGGGTTACACTTTCAATACGGGTTGTTACCTTTTTCCTTAGCACTGACCTGCTGATGAACTCTGGGTCAACAGAGGTGGAAAAAAAGATGTTAGTTGTGAGAAAAGGAACTGAACCATAGAAGGATCCATTGATAAACATATTCAGTGGGTGATGTTCTCTGTGTGTGTGAACACGCACTCGCGCACTACCAAACGTAAAATTCAGCAGTGAGGCGGGAATTGGTTTTTGAGTTACGTTGAACTTTTGTTTATTTACTTACAAAGTACTTTAGCTGTTAAGGTTGTATAGCTAACCTTCAAACTGTGACCTGGACATAAACTGTTATTTTTGCTGGCGGGTACGTGAATGAGAGACTTTCCGTATCAGCGCTGCTTTTCTGTTACAAGGAAGCAAGATCTTTCAAAGAGCTTTTACAAGTGGCTGTGTATCGGTACGTACAGCAGGCCTCCATCCTAGGTCCCCTGCAGAGCAGATTTGCCATCGCTAGCCACAATACATAAGCAAGCCTCTTTCCATCGCAGGCTATTAAACTTCTCCACTCTTCTGTGCTGTCTTTCACCCGAATCAGCCTTCTCTCTCATGGTTCCTTTCGCATCCCACCCGTTGCATCCTCCCACCCATTCCTCCAACGTCCTCTGGGCCTCTTTCATCGCTAGTGGCTTTAGGCTTAGTAGTGTTAATAGTCAGAAAACTATGTTAACAGGACCAGATAGATAAATGTAGCTGATGGATTTCAGGTAAGATTCCATTCTCTTATAATAAAAAAATGTATGCAATCACTCTTAAATTAATTTTCCTGAGGTGTCTTAGAAGTTTTGGTTTTATGTTAGAATTCTGTTCGTCTGTACTCATGATGAAAGATAGAAGTCATAAGCATTTAACAGAATTTGAGGAGCCGTGGTGCTGGCTCAAGAAAGGAATGTAATTGTTAACATAGAAAATGGAAGAAATATATTCTGTGACAGTTTTCCCGTAGTTAGCATTTGTTAGGTATAGATGGAGTTCACTATAGCAAGATAAAATTTAGTATCCATTTACCCGGTATGAAATACAGAATTCTTTCCCTTTTACTGCAGAAATATGGGGAATAGCAATGTGTAACCTTCTGGAAGGTGAATGCCTATCTGCTCCCACACCCATCTCTGTAATGAATGGCCACTGAGGCATTGACTAGACTGAAGGAATGTCCCTGCTCTACACTGAAAAGCTCAAGTCAAAAACTAACAAGTTTGTTATCAGCGACAGGCTCTCGTAGGTAAAGCACAGAAGGTTCCCATGGCTCAGAAAATCTCCTGTGACTTCCTATGTGATCTTGGGCAAGTCATTTAATTTTTATTTGCCTCTGTTACCTTTAATGCAATTACAGTAGACTGCATATTCTCTTCAAGCCTAGCACTCTGTCTGCATTATTTTTACCAAGAAAAGATAGAGGTGTCAGTAAGATGGTGCTGAGCACTCCAGTAGCTGCTCAAAATCAAACACTTCTCCACTTCTTGCAGAAGAACATCAAAGAATAAAAATTCTAATGAAATGATTTGTCTAATATTTTTCTAGAATATAATTATTATTGTAAAGACAATACCCCACCTTTTTTCCTGTGTCTGATTTAAGAATATGTGAAACGGACTAAACCTAATCTCTTTTTTACTTCTTTTGTCAAGCCTTATATTTTGTGGCTGTGTATTCAGCGATCAGTTCTTACTCTGCTGTTCTAAGACTCGCCTATATTTGCATTAATTGAAATGGATAATTGAGGCAGTAATACCGTCAGTCTCAGATTCAGCAGGGCAGTCTCTTCTAGGAAATAATGTGACAGTTGCTGGCTTTGCATTGAGATTGGCCACAAGCCTCCACTTGTAGTATAATCGTTGATAAAATATTTTAATATTGCCAGGAGCAGAACTGCCATGGAGCTCAGCCTTAACCTTTGAGAAGTGTTTACCTATGGATGTGTTAAATGCATCTCAGCAGGGTACCTGTGCGCTGAGAAGATGGACATGAAGTCAGATTCCAAACTGCAGACTAAAGACTAGTTTGCACGGGAAACATGCACATCCCTGAAACGAGGACCTTGTAACGCTGTCACTGATGGCCTGCCTTTCCCCACCATGTTACTCCTCCAGAGAACCCAATTGTGACAGGAAATAAAAAACTCTTTGGGTTAAGCACTGCGTTTCCTTAGCTGGACGATGATGTGCGTAACACCGCTTACCCATTCTAAAATAGTTAAAGTAAATAAGTTGTTTCTGGTCATTTAAATTGCAGCTTTTGCTACAGTTCTGCTTATGAGGATCATCTTTGTGGTACATGTTGAGAGTCAGCAAATATTACACAAATATGCTGCCCAATTCAGCTGTCTTTTAAGAGCTAGCTTACGTACTAAATGCTTACTCTACTAAACTGCAGACTGTTCTGGCTGATGGTGGGAGCTGTATCTACTGCTCTCACACAAAAGGTGCTTTCCGGCCATATCAGCACAGCTGCAAACAGCAGAGGTGCCTGAGCTGCAGCTCCCGGACTAAAAGAACGAGAATGGCCCTCAGCTCTGGACTTCCCATCCTCCCCAAACTTCCTCAGTTCATAACAGCCACTAAAACGATTGACTTGGGGAGTCATACCCCTTGGATCATCCGTTTTCCTGCCTATGAGGAAATGGAGCAGTTCTTAAAGTGTGTTTTGAGCTCGTATGTTGTCTGTTGTTAGTGCAGGTGTGCCGATTACTTGCTGCCAGGTGGTGGGAGTTACAGGAACGGCCTATTTTACAGTTGTGTGTGTAAGATTTGTCCAGAAGTGCCCAGGGAAAGAGGTAATTGCTTTGTTTAATGGGTGCATTGGCAGCTATGAATAAATGGGCAGCTTTACTGAAGGAAGGGAAGAGAATCAAATTAACTTGAGAATGCAGAGGATTATTCAGAAACAAGTGAAGAGCAGAGGCCGTATCTCTTTAGCTACTACACGTATTCTTTGTGTATGCGGTGATATTCCAGTGATAGCACCACGTTTGCAATTTTACT